GGGAAGTTTAATGTTCGCTATGATATGCACAAGACCAGACATTGCACAAGCAGTGGGAGTGGTTAGTCGGTACATGGCGAATTCAGGCAAAGAGCATTGGAATATTGTAAAAAGGATCCTAAGATACATCAAAGGGACCTCAAATGTTGCATTATGTTACGGAGGATCAAACTTACTAATCAATGGGTATGTAGATTCTGACTATGCAGGGGATTTGGATAAAAGCAAATCTACTACATGATATGTGTTCAAAGTTACTGGTGGAGCTGTAAGCTGGGTTTTAAAATTGCAGTCAGTTGTGGCTACGTCCACAACAGAGGCAGAATATGTAGCAGCTACACAAGCCAGTAAAGAAGCAATTTGGTTGAAGATGCTATTGGAGGAGCTTGGGCACAATCAAGAGTATGTCTCTCTGTTTTGTGACAGTCAAAGCGCCTTGCATCTAGCAAGGAATCCAACATTTCATTCAAGGACAAAGCACATACGAGTTCAGTACCATTTCATTCGTGAAAAGGTGGAAGAAGGAACGATAGATATGCAGAAGATTTATACCAAAGACAACATAGCAGATTTCATGACGAAGGCGATCAATACCGATAAATTTACTTAGTGTCGATCCTCTTGTGGCCTATCAGAAACGTAAGCAACATGATGGTACAAGGTAGAAAGAATGGTGTGAATATATGGTTGTTTCAATCAAATCTTCAAGTGGGAGATTGTTGAAAATTAAACCAACTTTCGGTGGAAAGTTGGATTTAATTAATCCACCGAATGGCAAATGTCAAAAAGGGTGGATTTGTGTTGAAAATTAACAATGGTAGAAATGCACTTTTAGTCATTGTAATTTAGGGTATTTACAAATTAGTCCTTAAGCTTCAACTATAAATACCCTAGCTCATTTAGCTTCAAAATCATCCCAAAGCATTCTAGCTTTCTTCCAATACTAGAGAGAATTTAGAGAGTTTCTTGAGAGTTGTTTTCTCCTTTTTATCAAGAGAGAATTATCATTCTTTTATCTTCATTTTTTATTTTCTCAAATTATCAGTTACGATTTTACTCTATCCGATAACCGTCTTCCGCAACAGGATCAACTGATATTCGAGCCTTGAAGGCAAGCAATGCTTGTATTTCAGTCTCATTCCTTGATGTACTGGATTCAACATGACCCAGCTTACAAAGAATGCAAAATAGAGAAACTATTAAAACTTATTCTATCTTGAATAGATAATAATCTATCAAAATAATGAAAGCACTGATATTATTTGAGTTTAATTCAATTGGTATTATTATTTTAGTATATAATAAAATATTTCTAGCGTCTTCTTTGATGCACAAAAGTTTGTTATACACCTCTCCTTTGATCTTCAAGAAGCATATTTCTAGCCTTTTGAAGTTCTCTCGGCACATCTCCGATGTTCATACGTTCGTTTGTCAAATCCGCCGAGCATGACACTCCTATGCTAAGTACCGAGTCCAAGCATTTCCAGATGTTGCCGATGCGGCGATGCCTCTGCTGCTTTGGCAATTTTGATTGACTGCTACTTCATTTTCAAAATTAACCCAAGTATCAACTATCTCCACCACTTGATCAGGCATGGTCGTCTTAACATACTCACGTAGGCTCAACTCTCCAGTAAACATGTTGTCGGTGATAACCAGTTCCTCTAGGCGGTACAATCGAGTAACTTCTCTGGGGATCAGACCATGGAAGCTATTGTTCCTAAGGTCGATCACCCTAAGGAATGTAAGGTGAAATTTCTCCTGCCAATTTCCACCATCCACCCCCGTCTCCACGGCACAGTTGACTTTTGTCCCTTCTTTTTCAAGTATTTATGATTTTTTCCAACTATTTATCAAACAAGCCGCTAGTTAAGACTAAAACTTAAGCTCCAATTTCTACCGTCAACTCCGGTCCCCACGGCACAGTTGACTTCTGTCTTTTATTTTATTTTTTTAAGATTTGGACACGGATTTATGATTATATTAGTTTTGATATTTTGATAGGTCTTTGATTTTCATAGGAAAATAAAAAACTTGTAATAAGTTTTTAGTTTCGATTGTGTTTTATGTCTTGGTTAGATTTTTACTTGTGAGAGCTAGTTGTTGATGGATATATCTATACCGCCTGATCATAGTAAAGTTTGGCGTGATAGAGGAATTTCATTTCAAATTTTACCATAATAAAAATGTTAGAAATATGATATGTGGGATGCAATGCTGCTAGGCATTTCCATATAATGCAAGGAACTCCAAGCCTACAAGGTTTTCTATCTCTTTTGGTATGACACCTGACATGTAGTTGGCTCCAATCAATAATCGATTGAGGTTTGCAGAGAGATTTCCAATTGAATCTGGCAAAACACCTGTGAGGTTGTTTTGGGATAACCATAATTGACTAAGATTGGTGCAATTAGTCAATGACGTGAGAAAACTTAATTCATTGGAACTCTCCAGGAAGTTCTGGCCAAAGTTGATGTTTTCTAGATTTTGAAGGCTTCCCAGATTCTTTGGTATTGGTCCTGATAAAGAATTCGAACCCATATCAAGGTCTATGAGCCCCGAGGAATTGAGTCAATTGACTACCGAGGTTGGAATTGGTCCTGAAAACTTGTTTCCCCCAAGATAAATGCCTTTAAGATTTGGAAGGCTCAAGCCTATGTAAGGAGGGATCTGGCCTTGTAACCGGTTACCAGCCAAAGAAAAGAGATAAATGGATGAGATATTATACAGTTGCTTAGGAACTGTACCAGAGAGCTTGTTTATAGCCAACTGAAGAAATTTCAAGCTTGAGAGTTGCTCGAGCTCCGTAGGAATGTTTCCTTCGAGATTATTCCATACCATGGAAAGATATAGGAGAGAAGAGATATTCCCTAATGAAGTGGGAATCGTTTCTATGAAGTTATTTGCTACTAGGAAAAGAATTTGGAGCTTGGACAAAGAACCTAGCCCATCATGTATTTCCCCTCCGAGTGCATTTCCGTTTAAGTTGATGACCTTCAAGTTTGAACAACGTGAAAGGTTTTCGGAAGTTCACCTTGGAAGGAATTGTTGACCAAACTCAATTCCGCTAGACGATGCAATCGAGTAAATTCTCTGGGGATCGGGCCACGGAAGCTGTTGTTCCCGAGATCAATCACCCTAAGGAAGGTGAGGTTGGCTATGTGAGGAGAAAGGTCACCTTCCAACTTGAGTGATGATAGACGCAAGGCGATCACTCTCGATGCCGGCGACCGCATGTTACTCCTTGCCAATCACAGAAATGTTGAGAACCATCCCAGGAGACAAAGACCCCGTAAGGATCAACTGGATTCAACGTGATCCAGCTTACAAAGAATGCAAAAGAGGAAAAGAGAGCAACCTAGTAGCTTCGATATCATGGTAGTAGGGAAATTCAAATATCATTGCTCATCCATCAGTATTTGGTTCCTTCTTAAAGGCCATTACAGTGCCTCCATATGTTTCAAGATAGACTAGAAATCTGCAGCGAAGTCATTATTCATTAATAGGGAATTTTTGACTGGCGTAACGCCTACTAAATATTAAATTCTCCGGATTTATTTTCGAATTAATTGTATCGTACATCCCTAAATTATACTTTTTAATTTAAATTAATTTTAAATTTTAAATCATTTCAAAACTATTTGTAGATGCCAATCAAATCCCTTTGTTAAAAAACTGTTGAGCATGAGAAATTTTATACTAAATCAATGAATGAGGATACAAGATAAATAATTTGAGCCATGTACAAGACAAGATCTGTACAGATATTTTTTGTACAAAAATAATTTGAGGCAATTTTATTAACAAATATATTAAATCAATATATAATAATAATTTAAGGATGAAATTGAAGTGAATTAAAATTTAGATATCAATTTAAAATAAAAAATTATAAATCGAAAAATGTCTAATTCGATTGACTATTTCTATTTTGGACTAACAAAGAAACTCCCCTACAAAAACTGGTAGTTTAGTCAAGCCACATGCAAGCAAATGTCAACTCTTATGCCTCATCATTATTGCATGAAATTAATGTTCAGCCGCATTGTTCAAGTCAAGTCATTACAACGACAACATGCATTGATTAACATAGAGTTTTTAAATAACTTATGGTGATTTATCAAAAATAATAATAGTGAGAGGAAGTATATTTCATCGATTAATTAAGTTATAAGTTTTTGTTTTTCCTTTATATCTTTTTAGATCATAAGCTCTATATCTATCAGGAGCATTCTCCTTTCTTCTTCTAGAGTCCTCATTCCCCTGTGGAATGAACTCGTCATGCGACTTTAGTAATAAAAAGGAATGTCGTTCCCCCTAAAGAGTTCAAGTAATTGCATCTACATTTGAACTATTATCGATTTGGATTTAGTAGTAATATTATAAAAATATATAATCAAGCTAGGTCAAATCAAAATAATTATAGTTCAAATGTTACCATACTATAGGGACTAAAATCATATTTAGCCATTTTATTTAATCTAATTTTTTAATAGTTATTTAATCTAATTTGACAAACCACTATGGACATGTGTGGCATTGGATTGCATCCCCATCTCGAATTTATCATACGTCTTCTTGATACACTGAAGCCGAGCATGACATTCGGATTCCAAGGACTGACCCCAAGTATTTCAAGATGTTGCACACAATTTTGATTAGTGACAGATCTAAAATTATTTTTGAGGATGAACACGAATATTTTAAAAAATATGAAATTTTAATTGGATAAGTAAAATTATAATTTTACGTGGATACGATCAATAAAATAAATGACTAATAAAAAAAATTCCAAATTTTAATTGACCAGATTTTCAATCGAGCCCTGCTCAAGCGTACAGAAGAGATACCCAAAGTTTAGTTAACCAACCCAAGAGAAAAGGAGCCAGTCCAATCAATTCCGCTAAAATAAGTTTATGGTGATACAGTTATTCCAGCCCAAGCCAAGGGGTTTGCCTTTTTGAACCATTAGAAGAGAATTTCCAATCCAAGTTCGGCGGCTCAACCCACCACAATTCCCTTTTCTTCAGTATTCATCTGCGGAGTCGGAGTTTTGTTTTAAAATGGCGGCTTCCAGCTCTGAGAACGATTTGAAAACCCAAGTTCCAAGCTCAAATGAAGCCGAGCAGTCTCAGATTCAAGCTATTCGAATGCCAAGCATGGAGGAGATTCGTGCTCAAGAAGTTTGGAATAACTGTGCTGTTCGTAGCGTCGCCAGTGGAGTCATGGGTAAGTTTCCGGTTTCATTGAATTCTTTTAGTATCTTTTACTTCTTCTTTTTTTGGTTTATTTCATTTAATTTTCCGCGATAAAGTGGTTTAAATTGCTTTGCGTTGATCGATCAAAGTGCAGGAGCAGGGTTGTTTGATTCGATTTGGGGAGCTAATTCTTTAGCTTAGTTTTACATACGAGTTGTTTTAGGCATATTGGTTTCTATGTTTTTGTGCTGATGTTGTAGATCCTTATTTATGCTTGTATTTGTGTTTCTATGCCAAAATAAAATTGTTCTTATTGATTCAGCAAAAAAAAAATCTCTATGAATGATAATTTGTTGGGCAATCAAGATAAAAAAAAGGAGAGGAAAAGAACTGGATAGTTTAGTAAATATTTGAATTTGATGGATTTCAAAATGTTTTTTTGTGGAATTATTGGAATAAAGTAGTAAATATTTCACCTTTTGCGTTAATCTTTCTTGGATTTATTGGGAGGTTTAAGTAAGGTTTTAGGGGTTTTAATATATTTGATGATATTTGCAGGAGGTGGGTTGGGATTCATGATGGGCGTTTTTCTGGGTGCATTGGATAATCCTATAATGCAAGAACAAATGAGTGGAAGGCAACAGTTAATTTATAACTTAAAGCAAATGGGGACAAGAAGCTGGAGTTCTGCAAAAACATTTGCAGTTATGGGCGTTGTGTTTTCTGCCGTCGAATGTGTTGTTGAGAAGGTAGTATGGAGAAACTAGAAGTCAGAATTCAAACACACTCACATGCACATTGAAAGGAAATGGAATCTGAACTCGTATTCATTGTTTTTTTTAAAGGCTCGGGCGAAACATGACACCACAAATACTGTTGTTGCTGGTTGTGTAACTGGAGGAACAATGTCAGCGAAAGGTATCTACTTTCTCACTGTTCTTGAATACTGTTTATAATGTCTATGATCTCCGTAAATACTTGGTAGGTATCTTAGTTAGCATAGAAAAACAAGTGGCAATTAATTTAGAGTCGGTCTTGATATACATGTGTCCAAGGAAAAGTTTTGTTCTTTCAATTCCTGATAAATTTTGGTTGTTCTTAGTAAAGTCCTTTCGTTTTGTGAGAAAGTATGTTAATAGTTTACATTGTTACAATATCTTTTGGTTATTCTTGCATGAATATCATTAATTTTAGATTGTGGCAAGATGGAAGGAAGAAGATGTACTTTCCCGTTGTCTTTGATACATGTTAGGAGAGGAGTTAACCTTTTACTTTAAGGAATTGAAATATCTCGTTGCTTCGTAAGCTCACACGAATCGAACTACTCAATTTTAAGTTAGCTTTTGGCTCATATGAGTGGTGGTTCAAACAAATAATTATTGATGAGATCTCCAATTTCACTGTCAAAAGTTAACCTCCCATGTTTGCCAGCTTATATAATGATGTTCACAATTTCATTTTGTTTTCGGTTCCTTGATCTATCTTACATCTCGGTTATGTTGTGTGTTCATAGCCGGTCCGAAAGCAGCATGTGTTGGCTGTGTTGGCTTTGCTGCATTCTCGGTTGCAATCGAGAAGTTTTTCGATAGACACACTTGATGGAAGAGTTACCTCTGCTTCAATTTTGCAGACATCTTTATTTGTAGAGACGGAATTCACGGCTCACCTACTGAATTTATCATTTATTTTTGTGCAATTTGTACCTGATTCATAACAACAATGGAAGGCATATAGTGTTCTCAGGAGTTGAAATCCTTCTATGTTTTGATTTCTGTTCGTTATATCACAATCAGAGGATATATACACACCCAATTATAATTGACTGGATCTTTGTTCTTTATATTTCTTGGTATTGCTCGCTCACGGAGATATCAGCAGGGACGGAGCTATACAGGGAGTGGGAGGGCCCTTGCCCCTCCAAAAACTTTTGGTTTAATAGCATTTTAGGTCCTTATTAGTTTAATTTTAAGTAAAATCGGACCTTTGTCTCCCTCGATTTTTTTAGATTAAATACATAATAAATCCTTATTATTGTGAAATCAAGTACCTTACCTCTCTCACTATTTAATCCTGGTTCTGCCCCCAGGATATCAAGGAAAGCTATTTTAACAGCTAATGAAAGGCAATGACCTATTATGTTAGCTGACTACATATATACCAGTTAATCAAATAATCTATCAGACATATTTGTATCAGATTTTTAATAATATTGCGGTCTATGACTGGCCGGACTTAATGAATCAGTCTTAATAGTTTCAAGGGTAAATTTCACGTTAAGTATTTAAACTATCAGTTTTGATTCGTTTTAGTTTTTAAATTTTCAATTATTTCAAAATCATACCTAAAATCTAGTTTTTATTTCATTTTAGTACTAATGTTCAATATTTAAAGTTATTTTTTGAGAAAAATTAATAGTTTAGGTACTAAAACGGGCCAAAATTGATAGTTTATGTATTAAACGCTTTAAGTTTTTAAGAGTGTGTACTAAAATGAAATAAAAATAAATTTTAAATATGATTTAGAAAGTTTAAGTACTAAAATAGACTAAAATTAATAGTTTAGACATTAAATATGTAGTTTACCCTAGTTTCAAAGTTTGATATCAATCTACTCGGACAAATTGATAGGGATAGATCTCAATAGAAACCATTCTAAGGATTTAAAAATCAAATGATGAGAAAGTGGAAGAGAAAAAAAGGAAAAGCAAAAGAGAGGTGGACAATAATGATGTCATTCACAAATCCTAAAGCTAAAGAGAAAAAAATACGACACTTTATCACACCACAATTTCTGCCCTTTCTTCCTCTCTTGTTGTGTTAGCTCCAATTAACCAATCCACCACCAATGTCTTTTCTCTTGTAACATCTAAATCCCGTCATCAACAATAACAACAACAAAATGCTAGATCCGACCTCCGGTCTGCCACCGCCTCCGTCCTCCCCCACCATCTCATCCGTCTCCTCCTCCGATCTCGACACCGAGGTAAGTTTTCAGTACCCATTTTTTTATATAGTTTTATTGGTTGAATCTTAATTCAGTTAGTACCGTTACTGTTGCACGCATTATATAGTTTTCGTTTGATGTTCAGTTTGGTCTTGTTCTTTTTTGTGTGCGTGAATGAAGTCGACAGGTTCGTTTTTCCATGATAGAAGCACCACATTGGGTACTTTAATGGGAGTGAGTTTCCCAGCTGTTACTTTCAGAGCTCCTTCCCGTCACCACCGCGAGACGCAACCCGCGAACGCTGGTTCTGCTTCCGTATCGAAACCCAAGAAGAGGAGAGCGCTGACGGCTGCGTTCGGCGCCGATCGTTTAGGGAGGAAGCGGAGGAAGTGGTGGCAGATATGCAGGGACGGGGATTCCAAGCCGGCTTCTCTCGGAGAGTTCCTGGAGGTGGAGAGGAGGTTCGGGGACTGCACGTTTTACGGTGCGGCCGCAGAGGAGCTTGAGGGAGTGATGGGGGCAGCGCATGATGAGCATCACGAGGCGAGGAATGGACGGTCATTGTTTGCCGATGGGAGGGTGTTGCCTCCTGCGTCGGCGACTCATCCTCCGGCCGGTGATTGTGATGACGAAGAAGATGGAAAGGCAACGACGGCGGGGGCTCTTTGTAGATTCCCGGGGTCGCTCACGCGGATATGTAGCGGTGGCATTGGATAAAGCCTATACCTTTTGACTCCTCTGTTCACCGTACAATTCTTTAATGTTTTATCTCTGTGTATAATCTCACAAATATATCCGAAAACCCTTAAAATCCATGATTGCATTTTAATTGGGGTTCATGCAAATAAAGGTTGTGATCCATTCTGAATTATTTTAATATTATTTTAGCATGATATGATATTTTATTATTATTATTTAATATAAAATAAATTAAAATAAAAAAATAAGGTGTTAGACGTCACCGTCAACCGCTGTAGATAGTGATCGTTCGACCCTAAATTTCATGGGTCAGTTCATTTTGAACACTAAGTCTAAATTTGATAGTTGTCTCACCAAAAAATATATCAAAACATATGAATTTTGATTGAAATATTTTGGTTTCCTTACTTTCAATCTCTAATTCATGAATTTCGAAGCAAGTTCCAACAGAGTGGAGGTTGGATTCGAACTCACGGTGTCGAGACGAAACGACCTATGAAATTTGAGATCGAACGATCATCATCTACGATGGTCGACGATGACCGACAGTGATGTCCGGCTACCTTTTGTTTTTTATATGGTTTGTTTTTTTCCTTTCTTTTCTTACAATTTATGTATCTTTTATTTTATTTTACTGCTCTAACAGCGACGATAGAATTCATTTCAATTTCTTTGCCGACAGATCTTCAATTTTCATTCTAGATTCAATCATGTTAAGATTTCTTTTCTCTTTTTTGTGTATTTTCGTTCTTTATTTCACTCTCGTTCAGATCTGAATTTTTTTGATGAATTTGTAGTTTCGTTTTGATTTCTCATTTTCATAGATCTAATTATCATGTATCTAGATCCAGCTGAATTTCACCTCGTTTTGATTGATTTCTGTTTTTTGAATTCGAAATTATTCCTAAACCATTTTAGAAGCGTGATTCTAGGGAGTTACTTTCCCGTCCCTTTTTCTTCCCCTCTTCTTACCTTGACTACCGTAGAGCTCTCCATTTTCATAGTCATTATTTTCATTCTTGCCTCCACTAGCTTTCTCATAAATCTTCGGTTTAATTTTTGAACTTGTATTAGCATTCCCCTCGTTGTTCGGTTCAATTTCGGGGAGATTTTGTTCGGAAACAAAGTTGACTGGACTAACCTCCGGCGGACTCTACTCCGTTCCCGCTGATCGGTGTCGTTGACCAACAGTCTGAAGACAAACTCAACCGCCAAATCCAGTTGATAAATCTTTGTCCCTGCAACAGCTGTGTATCTCTTTTTTGTGCTTTTTGCTTTTTGCAGGTGAACGTTACCGGCAACCACATTTCACCGACGATCTCTACCGTCGACCTCAACAGCGCCCTCAACAATCCCGCCGAAAAATAGCAACTACCTTCTACTTGCTGGCAGGTACATATAGTGGTCGGCCAGGTATTTAAACGTGCTATGCTACTTTTCCAACTATTTTGATTGTATGTGTTGCATGTTATTCCGCTTTCTGGGTTTTTTCTTGGTTGATTCGGCCTGGTATTTGAATTCTCCGGTGAGCAAAGCATCCTAACTATAATCTAGTTTTGATTCTGTAGTACCCCTCAATTCTCTAGCATTTTTTGTGCATCTTCTATCTTCTTTGGATTCCTTTTTCATAGTTCCTCATAGCTACAGCTATAGATGATTACTTAAGGTCATGTCCTTCTTTTAGAGCCCATAGGGCGTATAGGGGGCGGGCTCGACAGAGTGGTGTCAAGGAGACCAGACTTAGAGTTTGTACGTTGAATGTAGGCACATTGAATACTAGGCTGCTGGAGCTGATCGGCGTACTAAGTAATAGGAAAATAGATTTTGCATGTATTTAAGAGACTAGGTGGAAAGGTTCTCGCGCCAGAGAGTGTAACGGGTACAAGTTGTGGTATTCTGGCGTAGATAACGCTAGAAATGAGGTGGGTATCTTGGTATCTAGGCACAAGGAAATGTAGTTGAAGTTTGTAGATATTGTGATAGGATCATGATGATTAAGGTTATTATAAAAGCGGAAGTGGTGAATATCCTTTCAGTGTACGCCCCACACGTTGGCCTAGGGGAGGGGGAGAAACTTTTCTTCTGGGATTCGTTAGATGGTGTACTTAGGAGCATTCCGGATGACCAAAAAGTTTTCATAGGGGGAGACTTCAATGGCCATATAGGTAGTGCAATCGACGGGTATAACGGTTTTCATGGGGGTTTCAGTTTTGGAAGTAGGAACGAGGAGGGACGTACGTTGCTTGAATTTGCTACTGCACACGATATGGTGGTCACTAACTCATTCTTTAACAAGAGAGACGTGAACTTGATTACGTTCCATACCGGGGGACATTGTACCCAAATCGACTACATCCTGGTTCGAAATTGAGATCGATGGGCTTGCATTGACTGTAAGGTGTTCCCTGAAGAGGCATGTGCATCACAACATAGATTGTTGGTGTTTTTATTCCGAGTTCGCCACGAGCGGAGCACTATTAGGAAGGCTAAACTTGGTAAACCTAGGATCCTTTAGAAGAACTTACATGGAGCGACATCTGATGACTTTAGGAGTAAGGCTTTGTCTTATTCAGGTTTTGGAACTACAAACTCAAATAATGTAGATATGTTATGGAAAAATATGGCAAATTCCATCAGAGAGGTGGGCAAAAACACCCTCGGGTTGTCAACAGGGAAGGTCAATGAACATAAAGAATCGTGGTGGTGGAACAACGAAGTCCAAACTAAGGTGAAGACAAAGCAAACTTGCTTCAAGGAGTTTCTACAATGCAATGACGACGAAGAAAGATCAAGAGCTAAACAAAGATACAAGGAGACAAAGCGGGAAACCAAGAAAACAGTGGATAAAGCAAAAGATAAGGCATACGAGGAAATGTACAAGAGATTAGACACCAAGGAAGAACAAAATGACATCTTCAGGGTTGTAAAATCAAGGGAGATTAGGAAAAAAATATAGGTAGCATTAGGTTTATTAAAAATAACAATTATGTTCTTTTAGTGAAAGATCATGATATTAATAGGGTTTGGGGTAGTTACTTCTTTGGCTTATTTAATGACGGTGTCTTTCTCTGTAGAGATAGTATCGTTGATGTGTCAGCCGACCATCATACTTCGGCCAATGACTGCCCTACAAGTAGAATTGGGATTGAGGAAGTCAAAATGGCTCTTAGAAAGATGGGGAGGGGCAAAGTTGTCGATCCAGATCAAATTCATATCACTGTGTGGTTGGCCCTATGAGAAGAGGGAGTTAAGTGGTTGACAAACATCTTTAATATTATTTTAGAGACTACCAAGATGCCAGAGGAGTGGAGAGAGTCTACGGTGATACCAATCTATAAGAATAAAGGAGATCCCTAATGTTGTGGTAACTACAGAGGTATTAAACTACTCAGTCATACCATGAAGCTATGGTTTAATGCCATGCATGTCTACTACAGAGGCAATTCATCTACTTTGACGACTTATGGAGAAATATAGGGAAAAAATAGAGATCTTCACATGGAGTTCATTGACCTCGAGAAGGCGTATGATAACGTCCCCCGTGATACGATCTGGAAGACCTTGGAAACGAGACGGATCCCAACTGCATATATCCGAGCAATTCGTGATATGTACTGTAGATCTACTACATACGTTAGGACTACAGTTGGCAACACCGAGGCATTCCCGGTGGAAATCGGACTCCACCAGGGGTCATCTCTTAGTCCTTACATCTTCGCCTTGATTATGGACGACATCTATTGTGCGACTCCAGACGGTGTTCCATGGTGTATGCTTTTCGTTGAGGACATTGTCCTAGTTGCTGAAACAAAAACCGAGCTGAATAGTAGATTGGCTACCTAGAAGACTGACTACCTAGAAGACTACTTTGGAAGAAAAAGGTCTAAGGATCAATATTGAAAAGACAGAGTATTTATGTTCAAACTTCAGTGGGAACCAACACGTTGAAGATGTAGAAATATGCATAGAAGGACACGTTCTCCCCTCAAAGGATTATTTCAAGTACCTAGGGTCTATGATACATAAAGATGAGGGTGTAGATGATGACGTTACACACCGTATAAAGGCAGGATGGCTAAAGTGAAGGGCTGCTACTGGAGTTTTGTTTGACAAGAAGGTGCCTCTAAAACTTAAGGGAAAATTATATAGAATGGCAATAAGACCAGCGCTGTTGTATGGATCAAAATGTTGGGCAATCAAAAAGGATCACGTAAGGAGGATGGAGGCAGCAGAAATGAGAATGCTTCGATGGGCATGTGGTAAGACTCTGTGGGACATGACACCAAACTCTGCAATTAGGATGTCCTTGGGGTGGTTCTTGTATCCGAAAAATTGAGGGAGGGAATACTACGGTGGTTTGGGCATGCCCTTAGGCAACAACCGTCGGATGCGGTCAGGAGGGTAAAGTCGATTACAGCCGAAGGTGCCAGAATGAGAGGAAGACCAAGGAGGAAGTGGGTAGACTGCTTGAGATTTGATTTGAAGGATTTAGCCCTTACCGAAGACATGACCTCTGATAGGAAAGTATGGAGACTTAAGACCAGGGTAGTCGAGTAGTGTGGGTCACATCATCTCTGTCTTCTTTTAATGTCATTGTAGTAATTTCCATGACTTCTACTTTTTATACGTTGCTGTCATTGGAATTTATGAAGGCTTAGAACTAGGGTAGCGGAGTAGTGTTGCCTTAGTTTAGGTTTTAACCCATTTGACTATATTCCTTCTTGTAGCTTGCTATCGCTGACTTCTGTGTATTCTTCTCTTTATTTTTCCTCTTTTTAAATTTAGCCGGTGTTACGTTTCTGTCTATATGCAGAGATTTTTACGCAGAGATATATTTGCAGGGAGTACTTCCCATTACAGACGCGCATATGAAGAATGCATATGAAAACTGTTTAACTATGTATTTATTTATTTATTTATACATGCATTGTATTTTATCTTTATTTTTAATTTGCTCACTGCCGGAGGTCTTCCACGGAAGCTGCTCTCAACCTGACGTTGGGGGCAGTCTACTACCATTCCTCCCCCTTACCCCCATTACATATGAGAATAGGGTTTTGTTGTTGTTGTTAATCAATTTGATTCAATATTTGATAACCAAATTAATGATTTGAATACGTATTTCTTCCCCTCTATATGATGCAAATATTAACTAATACACGAAGAAGATAAATATGGATGTAAGTAATGTTGACACCAACAACTTCACCATCCAATAACCTTTCAACAACTCCAATATATATGCTGATGTTATCCTTTCTATTTAAAAAGCAAGCTTCATGATTCTGGCACACTTATCCGAAACCCTAATTACATTACAAAAATGTTGGTTCAACACTCTCCGATTTTCATTATCACATTGCTAATTGCAACAGTCTACGTGGGGCGATGCTCGGCGGCGGAGGCAGCAGAAGAACCAATTTTAGAGTTCTACATGCATGATATCTTAGGGGGAAGTAGTCCCACGGCAAGGCCAATAACTGGCTTACTTGGAAACATCTATAGCGGCCAGGTACCATTTGCTAAGGCAGTTGGGTTTCTACCCCCTGCCGGTGGCGTTGCAATACCCAACGCTAATGGTGCCATTCCAACTATCAATGGCAACAACGGTCTCCCGTTGGGAACCGGATTAGCCGGCACGGCTTTCGCCGGCAATCCATCCCAAAATGGTCAGCCTCAGGTCCCTCTGGGACCGGACGGGTTGGGACTAGGCTTCGGAACGATCACTGTTATCGACGACATAATCACCGCTAGCCCTGATTTGGGGTCACAGGTGATAGGGAAAGCTCAGGGAGTTTATGTGGCTACCTCGGCTGACGGAACAACCCAAATGATGGCCTTTACGGCCATGATCGAAGGCGGGGAATACAACGACAACCTCAACTTCTACGGGGTGTACAAAGTCGGAAGCACGGTGTCGCATGTATCGGTGACCAGCGGAACGGGGAAGTTCAAGAATGTTTGTGGGATTGCCGAGGTTCGACCACTTATACCGCCAGGTCAACATGTCACTGATGGCGTCGAGACATTGCTGAGGATCACTGTCCATCTCAAATACTAAATATTGCATGATCTTGTCTCAAAGAATGTGTGTCTGATTGTTTGAAACAAATAAACGTGGTGTAGCAAGTATAAGGTTCATGATATTTCTTTTGGAGTAATTAGACTCAGCAAAATATGTACAAGCTGGATGGTCATAATTTTATTTTATACGTGTATTTTTGTTGCTCTCTCGCCGAGACGCACACTTGAATTTAGTGATTTAACCTCCTAACAGAGATTTTATACCTATACAAATACTCGAACCTTAATTAGGAGAAAGATTTTAACCAATGTGATAAGGAAAACAATATGCAAAGGCAAATATATATAATAAATATAAAAATTGGTCGGTCGACGTTGCCTACGAGGAGGGTGTTTCAAGAATGGTCTCCAACGCCGGCTTCCACGATCTCTGCTTCGAGAACCTCTCAACGGAATACTCCGCACCGTTACAGTCCGTGTTCTTCGGCGCCGTCTTCGCGTCGAACGGGAAAATACAAAACTCGTTAAAGACGGCGGGAAAGATCCTCCCGATGTTAAAGCCGGCATGTTTCAACGCCTTGCTAGCGTTGCAACTGAGCCAGCTCATCTCCTCTTGAGTCAGCACGGAGTAAAGCAGGTCCATGGGAAGAACAAAATAAACCTGGCGTCGCTCTAGTTCATCATCCGCCGTTAATCCATGAACCCTGGAACCGACTTTTAATCTGCTCGAATCGCACACGAATTGGCCTGGATTCTCCACCATTAGATCGGCTGCTTTGACCGATTTCGTGTGTATCTGCAAACTCCCATCTGGGAACACCACTTTCACTGCTCCGCCACTTGAAGTGATCGACGGCGCACAAGAAGCTGCATTCCCCATTATCAAAGAAAGAGATAGAGAGAGAGGAAACAGAGACTGCCTGTGTTGTTTGGAATGGGTTAATGAATGGAGATGGTGGGATTGATGATATATGAGCACGCAAAGATGGTGGTTGAGCGATCAAAGGGAGGATTTATTTATGTATTTCTTTATTTGTGTTTGCTTTTGCTTTTAGTGCTCCTTCACATATATCGCTATCGGACAACAGGATGCAAGCAAATTTTCATGAGTCGAGATACCTGATGGGACAAGTGTCATCAACACGCTTTACTGCCTATTTGGCTCTTTGAATTACAAATTTTATCACTAAATTTTACTCTCTCTCATATTTTTCTCATTGAACTTTAAAAGTTTTCAATTTTCTCCCTAAACTTAATACATTAGATTTTTTTTCACTCCAGGCTTAAATGAGAACGGCGTTAAAACGACACCATTTTAAAAAAAACAAATTTTTTACCAAAAAGACATCATTTTACATCTATATAAAAACTTATTTATAATGTTTTTAGTGAAGAAACAATTGAGTGACCAAAAAACTCAATGTATTAAGTTTAGTGAGAAAATTTAAAATTATTTCAAGTACAATAAGTGAAATAGGAGAGAGGATAAAATTCATTTACTAAATTTGTAATTTAACATTTCTCTTTTTTTTCTTTATTTCATTTGTGGAAATTATTTACTAAATTTGTAATTTAACCTTTCTTTTTTTTTTCTTTATTTCATTTGTGGGAATTATAATAGAGATCATTTAACTACAATAAAATAATCTTTTTAGTTATTAAAATTTTAACAATTATAAAATAATCATTAGACTTATCAAACTGTTACAAAATGACCATTATAATAATTATAAAATTATAAAAGAGGTCGCTTAGTTATGATACAATTGTTGTTTTCAAAAGAACAAAGTTAACTATAATGATTTGACAGCCACCATCATGTTAGATTCAATCCATAAGAAAAAATTAACCCAGTGCTTGCTGAACGTGGAAAAATAACAAATTGTTTAATGAGTGAGCACATGGGAGAGGGATGGAGTAGTGTAAGTAGGCATCACAAAACGACACCACCAACCACTATGATTGGACATGGTCTTGGATAGTATTCTCTGCGGCTGTTCGCCTAACCCTGTTCATCATATTGCTTAATAAATCCTCCCCCTTTTAGGTACATAAGCAGACAAGAAATTGAGAATATTTAGACAGCATTTGTTCTGTATGTCAAATCTCCCTATTGTATTTGCTAGCTTGCAAACTCTTCTTTATATAAATATGGTAATGGTAGTTAGTTTATTTGATTTGAATACTTTTTTTAAGAAATGACATCTAATCGGAATTGTTTATATGAAAAAGGGAGTTCAGTGATTATAGATGATCTATTCAATTGGGCCACGAAAACTAAGAGTTTTTGTCTCATGAAGAATGGAGTCCGGACAGAGTAACAATATAATTGAAGTCAAAGATGAAATTTAATAATACACAAATCAACTTATCTCAACGGTTAAAGGAATCGTTATTGTTTCTAGAGGTCATTAGATTGAACACTAACGATTGCAGTAGAGTGATTGAGCTTTTACTGCGAGTATTTAAAGACATATATTACATTATAATTCCCTTAACTTAATCAAAAATAATAATACAATTATATTAACCTGATAATTTAATAATATCTAGAGTAGTTTCTCATTTCTTTTCATTAATTTTACACTAACTAATGGTGTTAATTCCAAGTACCATAATGATGTGAAGTAACACATTGAACATTTATTCAAAATAAAGTTACTACATTGGACATTTTAAAAATACAAATTTTCCAACATTGAAGATTTGGTCAAAATGCAAGTACCACATTAGAATTTGATCAAAATATAAATACCATATCAGACATTCTAACAATACAAAAAATCGCATTAAACATTTTATCAAACTACAAGTATCATATGTGACATTATCCCTAAAAAGCTTACTCAAAACACATCACAAGTGAAAATATACCTTAATTAGATAATGTTACATGAAAATAATACAAATATGATATGAATGCACAGATTATCAAGTCCAACACTAAACACATTAAAATCTGGATGACATGCATACATTTGACTACTATGATCAAAAGCTGCGGAAAGGTTTACGATCACTAGAGAGACTTAACATCCATACATCTGACTTGGCTTTGCTATTCTATATACTGTACCATCTGTACATGTGAAAATTTAATTTCTAAAAGAATACAAATCAAAGAATACTGACACAAAGTTATGTACTCGACACACCATAACCAAACAAAATCCCATAATTCTGAAAAAGGGGAAAAGGAAAACACAAGAAAGCACCCAAACAAAAGGGATGAAATGACTATACTATGGAACAAGGAACATGCAAAACCCGAAAACCTAAACCTCTCATGATTCAAATCTTACATGCAAAGGAGATGAAGTAAGCCCTAGATGGATTGCCTTCACCAATGCCACGAACTGGAATAGACACTCTTCCGAGAACCACATCATTTTCCACGTCCGAGACCTCGCTACGTTATTTTCCTTTTGCATTTTCTTTGAGGTGCAGGCCTTAGATGTGCTGCACTCGAGAGATAATGTAACACAATGCCTCCCTCTGTTATCGATAACCTAGAGTGGAAATCAGATTAGTAATTATCTTTCTTGAACTTGACATTGATAGCAAGGATAACAAATAGAAACCGAAAAATATGGCCATACCGCCATATACTGCTATTATGACTGTTACAGCAACCGATTTCACCAACAACATAGCATATTATTAGCAGAAAGAAAAACAGAAGCACTATAATAGTTACCATCTCAGATACATCTGCGATGTTGCAGCACGAATCCAGGGAGAAATATGGAGGTGAACATGCATCATTTAGGATCGAACTGAACTGAATAATGTCTTCAACACACACGATCACTTGTCCTCCAATGACAAACAGTGATCGTGAAAGCCATGATTCCTCTGTTTTCACATGAAGATTAAGCATTATCAAGTCCAAGGTTTATGTGTCTATGCTTCTGCATTCACAAGCGAGCAGGAGTGCAAGGATGCAAGAATGAATTGTTAACAATCAGATGCTTTCTGCTAAATATAATATCATACGACCACTTTTTTCTCTGAATCCATGTATGCACAAGAACAAAGGCAGCAGCATCCACAACCATGATACATGCAAGCAAGAAAATTAACGATATTCATGCAAGCATAACCAAAAGATATACTGGACAAACTGGAACAATTTTACATTTTAGACCACTGAAAAGGAAAATTATGACATGTCCTACAGACTAGAGAATGAATCTAGACAAATAAGAAGCAAAAACAGTCTCTTTAACAAACAATATCATCGGCAAATACCACCTGTTTCTGCACCCTTTAAGCAATCCTACAAGCACAAATGGCAACTAAGTTGTATACAAACGTAGAAGTTGTGTCGTTACACAAAATCAATTCTGTTCATCTAAAGTTGCATATCAAGAACAACCAAAATTTATCTGGACTGAAAGAACAAAATTTTTCAAAGAACAAAAAACATATCAAAACCGACTCTAAACTACATTGCCGCTTGTTTCTCTGCCTTTCAATTTTCATTACTTTGCTTGGAGCAGTATCTACCGTCCCCATTGCACACAAAATTATAGGATATAAGATATAGATGACAAGCATATTAAATATAACAAGTCACGACAAGATAAAATTCAGTGAACATACCTTCAGTACCTCCTTTCTGGAAAAGCACCATCGAGTATTGGGAAATGCTCAATTTTAAACCTCCACATATTTGTTTCTCAAATAACTCAACCTGAACCTGCTCCAAACTGCCATTTAAATTTCCAAACCTCAATCTATCATGACAAAGAAATGTACTTTGTATGGCAGTTATTGACATCAAAACTAATCATTATTAAATTCCACGTCTCATTTGATGTAAGTTGTTGATTTCGAGTGGTTTGTGGACATAGAAATTTACATTTGCTTGCAACTTTAACCACATTCACTGAGATATAGGGGAGAAAAAGAAAACACAAAAAAAAAACAAGACCAATATTAAATCTAGGAAGTACCAACAAGGATGCGTAATACCAGTAGAACACAGAACGCACATGGTAACATGGAAAATACTAAAAAATTAGGACACAAATCCGGCAAGACAACAATAAAAAAATACTTTTACAAGATAATCTACAATAAAAATGCAACTTGAACCTGAAAAAATCATTAGGACCAACTAACTAAAAAAAAGGACAAAGGTCCTAAATTATCGTACCCTACTACCTGTCTCGTTTAGTA